TTTTTTTATGGTTTGCATAGACATATACACATTAAGAGTTTTTCGTTTTGGAATGACTCACTTAAACAGATTCATTGTCTCTTAACAGCCGATTCGCATTGCCTTTTCCAGCAACGTTAATGTGAATTCAGCATTATTACACTGTAGGATCGAGTGAGGTGGCAGCGACACATATCGAGCAAACACTGAATTCTGAAGTTTTGTTATCACAACCATTGCGTGGGACACTTTATTTGTATTGTTTTCAGAGCTAGCTTGGTTAGATTTATAAGATCCATAAAATCCATATTCTTCCTTGTACCAATTTCATTCCAGAAGCAGCCAGCTGCTGCTTACTCTTTCTAGTTCAAACTAAAGAAATCGTAAGTGCGATAAAGACAGGGAAGTGTAAAGCTTTGATCTCTACCAAAATATTGTATCGCTTAGCTCTGCAGGTGCCGGAAGCAAAGCTTGAACGATTGTTTTCGAGAATATGTGGAAAAAATAACAAATGTCTAATAATGCATGCGCTGAGCTTGAGGCTAAGAAGTCACAGAATATACAGCTGACATATGCTCCGTTATATTCTAATGTCTTCGAGTTTTACAGTATTTTAGATGTTCTCAACCAGTTTTATTTTAGAAAATTATATCAAAAAACCGTCTACAAGCTTGCCTCTATTTCATGCTTTATGTTCAAACACATTTGTATTTTTGAAGTTTTGGCACAATGATGCGAAATTCAGAAGCTACGTCCATGGGAAAAGTTAAAGGATGTTACCAGAATTTGAAGGTTCTACTTTTAGAACGACTGCATTCTTTAATACTATCTTTAGGCGTTTTTATTTCAAAATTGGCTACCGTTTTAGTGTTATGCTCACAAGTGATCTCTTTCTCTTGAAATCCTTTTTTCTAAGAACGAAACTCAACAGAATTCTATTATCACTTCACGCTAGGACTCAATCGTGTATTCATTAAACTTAAAGATCTTGTTACATTGGTCATCTCCTCAGCAGATCAAGTTCGTCTAAAAGGAGACGCGTATTCGTAAACCTTTCTTTGGCGATAAATGTTCGATGCCGTTGACCCCTTGTCAAACGGCATTACACGAGCTCGAGAAAACCAGCTCTTAGCCGAGACCGATGTACCTATTTAAGTACTCGCATTCTGTTTTACATCAGCACACATGCCTCTGCAGATCTTCAGGAGACTTTAAAATTACGGCGTCTTACGTCTTACATTCCTAGCAATTTATTCGCATTCAACAAAGCTACAATTTTACTCCCTCAAGGACTTTCGTACCATTATGCTGACACCGCTGTTGCTGCTTATAACCTTCAAATCTACTGATGCTCAGCTAGGGAATTTATTTGGAGGCCTGTTCTCTGGTCTTGGAGGCCTGTTTCCAGGGTTAGGAGGTGGAGGCTTATTTGGAGGCATGCAACCAGGCGGCATGGGAGGCGGTGGATGTTGCTGCTGCTGCTGTTGTTGGTAAGTGATTACAATCAAGCATTGCTAAATGACCTAAAGCTAAAATATATTTTTCAGTTGTCCAAGTGGTGGCACCGGGGTTGTGCAACCACCACCAACCCCACCTCCTCCTGTCTGTCCTCCTTGCCCGCCCTGCATTCCACAAGTACAACAACCAGTGATTCAACAACCAGTAATCCAACAACCACCTGTTTGTCCACCCTGTCCAGCAGTCCAACAACCAGTAGTCCAACCACAGCCAGCTTGTCCACCCTGCCCACCAGTGACAATACAGATACAATCTCCTGCTAGTGTAGTACAACCTCCTATACAATCTCCTAGTTTAAGACCACCTCCTGACGTTAACATTCCACCAGGAGCGGTACCAGCACCCATGCCATCATACGGAGCTCCATCAGCTGTAGCACCGGCATCCGCACCCTACGGTGCTCCAGCCCCTTCATATGGAGGACCTCTAG